CATGCAAACATATATGCAAATATATGCAAATAGCTTCTTGAATACAGAGATTAAGCCTTAAACCGCAGCACCGGACTCAAACATGGCCAGCATGAGCCAGTCAGAACCTCTCAGGCTCTGCCCACAAGACCAAGCAGACAACACTTCCCACAATGCCCTGGGGCTACCAGCACCTCCTTGCTGGTGGCTAGAAATACTGACACTCTGAATCTGTCTGTTGTAGTCAACCCATCTGCTTGCATCTTTCAATGCTCACCCCACCTGGGAGATGCTTCGCTATTGTGGAGCATGTTCCCAGTGCAGGCCATATTCAAAGGATCCCACCCACGTGCCATGTGTTGAGCCCCGCGTAAACCCAAACCTCACCGCAGGCTGCAAACAAACGGGCTGCAGGCTGCATGTGGCCCGTGGGCCACGTGTTGAGTAGCCCTGGCTTGATGGGTCAATTCCTATAATGAATAATGCTTGGGTAGAATGAAGGAATCTTTGACTTCAAACAGTGGCCAGTTCTGGGTGTGCAATCCAGACCTGCAGAATCCAAGCAGCTACTACTCTGCAACTCTTTAGAGCTACTGCTAAAAGGGAGTGGGATGGATCCCTAGCTAGCCAACGGCTCTGCCCACAATATACTGATGGGGGAGATGTTCAGCCCCACTGATTGGCTCGAATGCACTATTTAAGCCAGAAGGCAGCCCAGGAAGATGTCTGAGCAAGTAGGTGAATTTATAGCTGACTGTCACTTTGGACTCTGCATCCTTGCTTGCATCTAGAGTCCTGCCTTCCACCCTGTTCCTGGTGTCTGCCATCCTTATCCCAGATATCCATCTGCTGCTGGTTCCTGTTTACCTGTCTAGCTCCAGGTCCTACCTCTGATCCTTGTCCTGACCTCTGACTCTGGCTATGACCCTCCTGTTCTGGTGTCTGGCTCCTGACTCCTATGGTTAGGCGAGATTGGTACTTACAGTAGCCCAGGCTGGAAACATGAATTGTCCCATTCATACACACAGAAGGCACACGTAGATAGTCATTTACATTTAGGACTCAATTTCCTAGAATGCTAGTATAAATATGTTGACTTCAGTGCAGTTACTCCTGACTCCCTCAAAGGAAGTGAGAAAAAAATCACACCCATAGATAGTGGGCTCCCAGAAAACAAAAGAGTAAACTGAGAAGGAAGCTTCCTTTAAAATAATTTGAAAATGATTTATTGGATGCAACATCTACCCTTGGTGATTTCTGGTATTATTACTTTTCTTTAGTACAACCAGGGAGGACAGTAACTCGCTGTGGGCTAATGGTAAATTATGATCTATTGCAAAGGAGTGAAGGAAAATGTATCATAGGAGGTTGAATATGTGCCACCTGCTCTCCCTGATGCTGTTTCATGTGTCAGATCTCATTGGACAAGTCTGTTCAAATGTCTGCTGGAGAAAAGGGAATGCAAAAAGTTGGAGCAAATGTCCTCTAGCAAAGAAAGAAGGGCAAAGTAGGGAAGGCATTGGACTGAAAGAGATTGGTGACTGTGGACTTTAACGTATGTTCACTTATGAGACCAAGGGCCTGGAGGTCAGCAGGCTGTTCCCGTGCTTGGTGTGTGGTATAAAGGAAGGGGGAGGGGACTGTAACTTTGCCTCTGTCAAGCCTCAAATTTGCTTCCTTTGAAATCAATGGAAGATTTGTCATTGACAGCAGCAGGCCCAGTGTTTGGGTCTATGTCTCTTTTTACTGTTCCACTTTGGGATACTTCTAGGGTCTATCTAGTCTGGCACCCTCAAGATCTGACAAGATAATTTTCCAGACCATGGGAAGTCCATATTGTCTAGCAGTATTACCAGCACTTCCACAACTTACTGGGCTGTTAGAGGACATTTAGGGGTAAATTAGAGCTAAATAACAGCACAGAACACTGAGTACTAGGTTTGGTGGCTGTAAACAAACTTTATGGGACTACGGGAAAGTTGGCCACACACATGACAAGTAGATGTCCAACTAACTAAAATAATTCTGGATGATAGATGTTTCCAGACCAGAGAGTTCTGGACTAGAGAGGTTCAGCCTGTGCTCTGAGGATTAGTAAGTAAGTGTATTAAGTGGAGCTTAACATTTTTTTTTTGTTCTAGAAAAAAGGAAGACTTTTTGTGTTTAAAATTTTATGATTTTGCCCCACATTTTGGACAAAAGGTTTTCAGTGCATTTTTTTTAAATAATTTTTTGTCTACATATGTGTCATCATTTTAAATGTTTGCTCACTCCTCATTCTGTCAGGGTATGTCTACACTACCCCGCTAGTTCGAACTAGCGGGGTAATGTATGCATACCGCACTTGCTAATGAAGCCCGGGATTTGAATTTCCCGGGCTTCATTAGCATAAAGCCGGCTCCACGAGGTGTACAGATAGTTCGGAATAACTACGTAGTTCGAACTATCTAGCCCGTGCTGCGTGTAGCCGCGCGGCACAGGGTTCGCACTAGCCGGCTTTTAAAAATGGTGGAGCAGGCTTTATGCTAATGAAGCCCGGGAAATTCAAATCCCGGGCTTCATTAGCAAGTGCGGTATGCATACATTACCCCGTTAGTTTGAACTAGCGGGGTAGTGTAGACATACCCTCACTTATTTACTCACCTACAGTGGGAAAAGTGAGAAAAAATAAAATAACTAAAAAAAGTGAGAGCAGGAGATATATTTTCCTTACTTGAGATGGAAATGGTTTGAAAGTTTTTCTTCAAAAGTTCATTAACAAAAAAGATAAAAAAGTCATTGTCCAAAAATGCCATTGCTGAATGACAAAAATGCCACCGTCAATGAAACCTTATTTTTCAGCTATAACACAAAAGCAGCACCTTTTAGTAAAGTAAAAATAGCTATCAGGTCTTTAGGTACCTTGGGCTCCACTGAAGTCAATGGCAAAATGCCCGTTGATTTTAAGGGGGCACAACTTTCCCATTGCCTTTATACAGAGCCTTTCACCAAGCATTTCAGAGTTGATCATCTGCATTTCCTTAGGCCTGGTTTACTCTAAAAAGTTAGGCCAACCCAGCTATTTCTCTAGAAGGATGGTGAAGCACTGGAATAGATTCCCTAGAGAGGTGGTGGAATCTCCATCCCTAGAGGTTTTTAAGTCCTAGCTTGACAAAGCCCTGGCTGGGATAATTTAGTTGGGATTGGTCTTGCTTTAGCAGGGAATTGGACCCAATGACTGCCTGAGGTCTCTTTCAGCCTTAGGATTCTATGATTCTGTGTCTCTCAGGGGGTGTGAAATTCTACACTTTTGACCAATGTAGTTGAGCCAACCTAATCCCTAAAGTAGAAAGTGTGAGATGGATGGAATAATTCTTCTGTCTCAGTTAGGTGGCTAGCTGTAGGTATTGTCTACCCTGAAGCACTATAGTAACACAACCGCTGAAATATTTCACGTGTAGAGATGCCCTTATGTGTCATCATCAGAGAGATACTTGTACTAAAACCATATTCCCAGCATTTCGTTGAGTTAGTTTCAACTCATTAAGACGTATCCACATTAAGGTTCTGTCTAGGTAAGGATCCATGTTATAGGGTTTGAGACAGGATTCCAAGACCAATTTGGGGAGGTGGTTTAATCAAGACATAAAGGCAGTGCCTCGCTTCATCTTAATAGATATTCATCAACATACTGTTTAAGACATGTTCAGTTCCTGGCAGGCTTATTCCAGTCAGAGACTTTTTGAAAATGGGTTTAAAAGCCAGAATGATCAAGATATTTGTTAGGTACCATATCTGGTGCATTTCACCTGGAAGGATCCCTGAACACTTATGTGCAGCCATCTTCTGTGCTGAACACGACAACCCGTCAGTAGCACACCTCTACATTGTACAACAGTTAAGGACAGGAAGCAAAGAAGCAGATGATATAACATGGAAACTTATGAGGAATTCAGATTGTTTGAATAGACTAGTGTAGATTGGGATATGGCGAGACCTTTTCCGTATAAATGTGTAAAACAAAAACATTCAAAAAAATTCAGAAAAACAACAAAAATTACATAGCACTTCAATATCATTAACAACTAAGTATTTTTAATGATACCCTAAAAAAGACCTGATTTTTCCAGCTTGGGAGAAATCCCTACTAACATGAATATATTGGCCATGGTACACTCACTTTCATGCATGTGCACAAGGCTTTCACTTGCCACAAATATTCTTTTGAATGAACAATTTCACTTTTTCAAATATTTGCAGGATATGAAATCAACAGAGTGTGAAAACCATAAATTTGTTGATTTTATTAATCCAAACAAACGATCACACGCTTTTGTAGCATTAGCCGAGCCACTGCTACAGCTGCAAGTCTGTGCATGACTGCGGCAAAGGCTATATCTACACTTAGAGTAGGCCTATGATGTCGGAGAAAATTAATGAAAGATAATCAATGTGAATTGTGTAGCTAGAATCAACATACCTTGCACCGATTTTCTGGGGTGGCCTCATGGTGGGAGGTTGATAGAAGAAATGCTGTCATTGAGTTCCCTTACTCCTCATGACAGTGAGGAATACTAGCACTGACAGGATTCCTCTCAGTGTGTGATTTAGCAGGTCTTTACTAGATCTGCTAAATTTAGCCCTGGTGGATCAATCACCAGAACATCAATCCTCCACAAGTGGAGATGTGGCCTTCAACTGCTACAGTGGCACATCTGTAGTACTTCGGTGTTGATACTCACTATGGAAACAGGAAGGGTTCTTCCATTGAAGTAGTTAATCCACCTCTTTAAGCGGCAGTAGCTAAGTTATTGGAAAATTTCTTCCAACCAAGCACTATCTACACTGAGGGTTAGTTCGGTTTAATTATATTAGTCAGAGGTGTAGGCCCCTGAGCAACATAACTGGGTCAAAGTAACTTGTGTAGTATATTCCTCTGAATGACTATCCAGTATTTTTTAAGTACCTAGCTAATGTGATTTGTTGAGTCTTGCTTTGTGACTGATGACTACCCAGTTCGTTTCTTCATGCTTCATTCCTAGGCTGGGTACCAGAAATAGTGTTCACCCACCTGAAGTCAGCAGCTTGCATTAATGACACTAAGTTAGACCTAGAGGAGCCTGTAAACTGGCAGCCTGGAGATGAAGTTATTGTGAGTGGAACCGGTCCTGGAGATATGCATAGGCAGGAGGAAATAGTCACAGTCAAGGCGGTGAACAACACTGAAATTTACCTTGGATCACCTCTGAGGTTAGTGGGCTTTGGGAGATCCACAACACTGATAGCTAACTTAGGGCTTGTCTACACAGGGAATTATTCTTGATTAACTAGATGGTCTTATTCCAGAATAAGAGTTAATCTGGAGTAGTTAAACTGCTTTAAATTCACACCGTATATTAGTACAGATTATTTTTCATGTATAGAAAAAAAATTAGCAAGACCAGGTCTGCCCTAAAGGGGAAGGTCAACTTAAAATACGCAACTCCAGCTATGTTAATCATGTAGATGGAGTTGAAGTATCTTAAATCATGTCGCCCTGTCCACATAGCAGTAGATCGAGGGAGAAAATGCTCACCGTTGGCTTCTCTTATGTATCGCGAGGAGGACCCCTCTCAGTTCGAATTAGCGGGTCTTCACTTGACTCGGTAAATCAAACCCCGGAAGATCTCCTGTGGCAGCATCGATCTTCTGTGTAGTGTAGACGTGGCCTAAAGCATAAGAATCAGGGTGAAGAATTGCAGCAATTCCAATATAAAATGATGACAGTTTATAAATACCTTTCCTTGTGAAGTTTTACAGAAGCTGTGACTTCACCCTGTAATGGTACATTGCAGTGTGCATCAAGAGCAAACCAAAAATCAGCTAGTGGCCTTCGCACAATCTGAAGAGAACTTTTTTATAGCAGTTAAACCTTAAAAACTGTTATGGAAAAACTCTACGAGCTCAGGCACAAAATCAGCTTCTCACCCTTATTATGGTAATGAACACTCCTCACAAAAAAACCTGATGATATTTTACTGTACCCACTTAAAGTCAACCAGAGTCTTTCCATACTCCCAACCCCTTTCATAATTCATAGGGATGGACTCAGTGCTAGACCCGGGTACTTAAACTAGTTTGGACCCAGCTCTGAATTCTGAAGTTTCCATCTCTGAGTTGAAGGATGAGTCGCTCCTTCCTGTAAATGTTCTTACATCTTTCATTATGCTTTGTCTAGGTACCCTCACAGTGGTGGAGAGGAGTGGGTGCATGGACGGCGCCTTGCTTCGAATGCTGTAGTGGCATTGCTTAGCCGGAGAATTGTTGTCCGAGGGAACATCACTGGTGAGAGGGTGTCTCACCTAAGGAAATGTGCTGAAGCAGGTGTAACCGGAGGTAAGAAGGTTCTGTGGCTAGAGACCTGTTTGGAGGTAAAGAAAGAAATAAAAGCAATATTGCTACTTTGGTATCACATCGTGGCATCTATTATTTTGTTAGAAATCTTTCCTAACAGAATAAAATTGAAGCCCCCTGTGCTCTAGGAAACTGAATTTATCTTTTCAGACATTGTTTGATATGGAGGTATGAACTCTTAGGAGTGGGATGGAATTTCCTTCTTCTCCCTCAGATGTGTTATCCTCTCTTGTTTTTGCGAGCTATTTTGGAATCTTTCCCCCCTTTTAAAAATGAGCCTAAAGGAGTACAAAAGAAGATATATTTTGAAAATAAGCTTTCCATGTACATATTATTTGAAATGTTTGATTGTGTTTAAATTGTGTTTAATTTTCAGTGACTTAAAATCTCACAACTCTTGGGCATAGAAGACTGGGATGTTATAAGTGCGTTTGGACAACCTGATCAAATAAAGAAAATTGGTCTGATTTTCTCTCACATACAATGGTTTTGTGCCTATATAACTCCACTAGCTTCCAGGGATGGGTTCCTCATTCACCCACAGGTTCCTGGGTAATGAAGAGCAGAATCACACATGGTGCCTTTAATTTGGGGTGCGAATTAGGACTGCTGACTGCTCACACTTTCCTTTTAAAAAATAATTTGCTGGTGCAGACCTATGGATTTACCATCCATGAATATTGTCACTGAAGTGCACTAGTAGAGGGAGGGGAGGCAGTGGTTTTATTTGTGTTATAGTGTAGCTTTGGTTGTCAGAGGTGTAACAGGAAGTTGAGCGGGTTGGGTGTCACCTCAGGAGTGGCTCACAACTATGAGGGTGTATCTAGACAAAAGGGTTTTGTCGACAAAAGAGGACTTTTGTCGACAAAGCTACACCTGCGTCTACACTACCGCCAAATTCTGTCGACATAACATCGACAGAACTCGGCAGTTTTGTCGACAGTGGTAAACCTCATTCTATGAGGAATAATGCCTTTTGTTGACAGAGTTCTGTCGACAGAAGGTGTTATTGCATCTACGCTATCCTTTGCGTCTACACTCTCATGTCGACAAAGCGGCTTGCTTTGTCGACAGAACTGGATGTAGTCTTGACGCTCTTTGTCGGCAGAAGCTTTGGTGACAGTATCTGTCGACAAAGCCTTTGTCAGTAAAAGCCTGTAGTCTAGACATACTCTGAGGCTATGTCTAGACTGCAGGCTTCTTTCGAAAGAGGCTCTTTCGAAAGCATCTTTCAAAAGAGCCTCTTTCAAAAGATCGCGTCTAGACTGCAGGCGGATCTTTCGAAAGAGAAATCCGCTTTTTCGAAAGAGAGCACCCAGCGAGTCTGGATGCTCTCTTTCGAAGATGGCCTCTTTACATTGAAGAATGCCTTCTTTCGAAAGAGGAACTTTTGAAAGAAGGCGTTCTTCCTCGTAAATTGAGGTTTACCGCCATCGAAAGAAAAGCCGCGTTCTTTCGAAATAATTTCGAAAGAACGCGGCTTGAGTCTGGACGCAGGGGAAGTTTTTTCGGGAAAAGGCTACTTTTCCCGAAAAAACCCCTGACTCTGGACACGGCCTTAGTGCCTACCTCCTGGCAGACTGTCAGAAAGCCAGGCACCCCCCACTTCAGTTGGCGGTTTGCTCTGTAGTTAGATATCACGAAACCAGTAACAAATGTGAACTCCTGGCTCACTTATGCCAGTCTTACCATAGAGTCAGAGACAGTCTCCTGGGACTCTCCAGACTGTCTTGCCACCCAGACAAACTGAATATAGGGATAAAAGGTCATTTGAACCAAAAATCACATTACACATCAGTTTCAGAGGGGAAACCATGTTATTCTGTTTCAGCAAAAACAAGGAGTCCTGCACTACCTTAAAGACTAACAAATTAATTAAGACATAAGCTTTTGTGGACTGGAGCCCACTTCATCAGATGCATTAACTGTATGTTTGGATTCCCTCCCTTTTGCCTGAGGCAGGAATTATTTTTGCTCAGTTCAAACTTTTCCCACCTCAAGTGGAAAAGTACCAGATCCAAAGTGGGTTTCAGCACCAGGTGGTCTGGCTACATGTCCTTCTAGGACTAACCACAGTTTGGGCTTTCAGAAAAAATAAAACCATTCACGAGCTGTTGGCTTGATCATTGAGCCATTAAGTTCCCCCACCCCTAGCATCACTAATAGCCCTGATAGCACATTTTGAATAATAAAAAGAGCCACAGATTATATTTCTAACTTCATACACAAAAATGATACATGCACAAAAATAGGATATACACAGTCTGCAGATTGTAACATTAACATTGATGTGTCACATGAGGTATTTTGTTTACCACAACTTTGATTTATGCATATTCATAAGCCAATTTTCATAAAGTATGGGGGGCATGAGAAGTGACACTGCCCATGTGGGCTTTTCTTTTGAGGACAGAGAGAGGAATACATTTTGATTTCTGATCACCACACATAGTAGTCACTTGCTTTGAAATTAGCACTTTTCTGTTACAGTTTTTTCTTGTTTGATGGCTTATTTGTGGGTTACTTAGGGTACGTCTACACCGCACAGATATTTTGGGGTACTGGAGGTATCCCGAAATAGCTATCCCATGTTTACACAAGCCGTCCATTATTTCAAAATACTATTCTAAATAAGGGGTGCGCTATTTCATCATCCCAGTAAGCCTCGTTGCATGAGGGATAAGCAATGGCTCGAAATAGAACATTATTTCAAAATTTGGCACTGTGTAAATGCATAGCGCAAACCGCGTATCTTATTTCGAGGTTAGGGTGCTGTGTAGACGCACACGTAGTTACAGGGGTATGGTAAACACAATGTAAATGTTTGATACTGTAACCCAAACACCTGGGCTTTGTCTACACTGGTGCAATCTTTTGCCAGAAATATGCAAATGAAGCTAAGCGTGGAATATCACCGAGCCTCATCTGCATATCTAATGAGCCGCCATTTTTGTGGAAGAGGCTCTTGCGCAAGAAAAACCCTCTTGCACAATGTCGTTATTCCTGAAAATAATCAGCATAATGGCATTGCACAAGAGGGTTTTTCTGGCGCAAGAAGGGGCAGTGTAGATGCTCCTTCTTGCGCAAGAGCCTCTTCCACAAAAATGATGACTCATTAGATATGCAAATGAGGCCTGGCGATATTCCACGCTTAGCCTCATTTGCACATATCTGGTGCAAAATCGCACCAGTGTAGACATAGCCCTGGTGTGGTTACTGAGCAATGCAAGTGGCACCTAGACCACAGCAACAGTTAAGATCAAGAGACCTCTACAGCATGGACTGGGAGCCAGCTGGCTTTTAGCTCATTCTACGTCAGAGATCCCAGGTTCAAAGCCACCCAGTGGCGGTTACACTACTATCTGGATACGGATAAGTAAAAAGAATGCAACTTAACATCCCAGTAGTTTTCATGAAGTTTAACCACCAAGTGCACTCTTCTCCATTTAGTTCTATGCTAATACATATGTGATTTGCCCTGATGTTCTGGCACGAGCTGGCATCTGGACTGCCAGGATCACAGCTGGATTTTGTTGTTAATGTTCTTTCTTAAAAATAAAAATAAATTAGCGCTGTTGAAAAGTGAGCAGACAGTGTTGGAGACTGAAATTCTCTCTGCAGCCTCAGAACAGGTGCAGCTTGGGCAGTGGGAATACAAATCTCCATATGCTACCTACCTGTGTACTTAACATTTGACCTGAAAAGCCATAGGGCAGGAGCGGGGAACCTAAGGCCTAGGTGCAGATGCAGATGCAGCCCCTGGGTTGCCTGGATCGGGACCCTAAGACTTAGGGTCTTCTCCAGTATTGGGGAGCCAGTGCTGGCACTCCAGCGCCCCTCAGTCTCTCCACAACTCCCAGCCCCCAATTGATTTTTCTGAGAGTCGGCAGCTCCCAACCCAAAAGAGGTTCCTCACTCCTGCCATAGGGGTAAGGTGATTGTTCATACTCGATGCCCATTTAAATACTCTCTAACCTCTCAACAAGAGAGAGATCTGATCTAAGTGGCAGCCACAGATCCTTGCTTCCATCTTGGACCGTGTGCAAGTTACTACTTAACTTCTGTGTCTTCATTTTCCACTTGCCCGGTGGGAGCGATAGTCCTTCCTTACACCTCTGAGAGGTACTGTGAAGAGCTACTATTCATAAAGAATTCTGAAGTGTTATCATTGCAGTTTAATTCAAATACTCCCGTGCCCAATCACCTTTTCAGGAGTCTGACCCAAAGTAAATCAATGTCAAATTCATCTTTCCCATGCACGGATCTATTTAAACCTGAACAGAAGGAGCTTACCGAAGCATAAAATGATTTCAGCTTCCTGCAGGTTTCAATATACGCCCTTCTAAAAAGGAGCAGCTCTCGTTCATGGAAAGCCATGGCTTAGCACTTTGCATGGGGCGCGGAGTCACGGTGCCGCTGACAGACTCTCTGTGCTGTATTTCAGATGCCTCAGTCTGCCTGTACAAGAGGAGTGAGAGGATGGTAGGATCCCGGGATATGGGGGCTGTTGTCATTGCTCAGGCTTTCCAGGGGGAGGACAGTCACGTCCGTTTGGAAGGCGTTCAATTCCAGCACATGGGCCAAGCGTTCAAGCAGCATCAGAGTGCACTGACCATTGCCGGGGATGCCCGTATGACTGGTGAGAGAGTGGCTGCGGCCTGTGCCTACTATTGGGAAACCTACGTTCAATTACCTGCTCTGCCACCAACTTTCTCTGTGACCTCAGGCACATCACTTAGCCTGTCCGGGCTTCACCACCTCATCTGTACAATGCAGACAATAGCCCTTTCCCACCTCTCAGGAGTATTGTCAGGGTAGATACACTAAAGACTGTGAAGTGCTATACGTTCAAGTGATGAAAATGGTTATGTAAGAAATAGGTGCCATTTAGTATTATTATAGATTGTAAATGGGTCAAAGAAATACCATGAATCGAGCACCCACTGCCTAAATTTAGGGCATGTTTTTTTCAAAATCCACATTCCAAAGCAAACTGGATTTTGTTGTTAGAGGCCTCTCTCCATGCTCTGTGAAGTGTGTTTCAGGTTAGGGGTAGTTTGATATGAAGTTTTATCCAGAACTAGACTCCAACCTCTAATGAATCTTGCTGGAGGTTTTAAAATATTTAGTTTGTTTTTGCTTTTTGCCTAGCAATTTGCTTCAAATTGTATTCCATTGCATCTCTGTGTAATCAGGGTCTAGCCAGCACTGGAAACAGACGTAGCGCTGTATATGTAATTCATTAGTTTCAGTACAGAAAGCAGGAACTACTGGAATGCTCATGGGTGAAGATGGTTCTCATGGAGATTACTAGCCAAAATTTGTAGGCTCATGGGGTTTAATTAACCAAGAATATCAGCCTTTTAGGGTCTGCTACTGCAGATGACTAGTAAAGTCTGGTGACTGTTTTACGCGTCCTCCAATTCCTGTTCCTGTCAATGGGATTCTTTCCAATTGGTGTCAAAGGATATGTCTATACAGTGGAGATATTTCAGGATACCGAGGTATCCCAAAATAGCTACCCTGCATCTTAGAAACGCACCTGTTATTTCGAAATATTTTTTGAAATAACGGGCACGCTATTTTGCCATCCCTATAAACCTCAGTGCATGAGGGTTAAGGGATGGCTCGAAACAGTGCATTATTTCGAAATTTGGTGCAGTGTAGACCGCACCAAATTTCAAAATAGCCTATTTTGAAATAGACGTGAAATAAACTACACAATTTGCATAGTACAACATGCAAAAACTCATGGAGTGTCCACTCTACAAGCACTTTTTTCCGCAAGAAAAAGTATAGTAGATCGTCAGAAGACAGGGCTTTTTGCGTAAGAGTTACTCCTCTTTCCACAAAGAATAAGCCTTTTTGCACAAGAGCTCTTGTGCAAAAAGGCATGTGTGGACAGACACTAGGGGTTTCTTGAGCAAGAAACCTTTACTGGAAAAAGCACAGGTGTTCTGATGGCCATTCTGTGATATGAACATCAAGCTTCGCCTTTGTCCTGGCATGTAGTCTACACTGACCTTTCCTTAAATCAGCCACGTTTGCTAGTTTGCATATGACTTACCAGGTGACACATAAAAGACCTCTTACGGGGTCATGAAATTTAATTCTTGCTTTGAGGATTCCTGGATGGCATATATTCAGTTTCCCCTGTTATTGCGCTAACTGGGCTACGTTTCAGTTTGTCACATAGGAAAAAACTCACTAGCATTACATTGTTGTGATGCACAGTCACTTAAGATGGTGGCATCATGGAAACATGATATCTTTGTGTAAGCAGGATGCCACATTACATTGCAATGTTGTGATGCTGCTTTAAAACCTCATTGTGTTATGATGTAATGCCACAGTGCTGCAAATATGTTATCAATTAGCAATCTTTAGGGCAGGGGTGGGGAACCTCAAGCCCAGGGGTTGGTTGTAGCCCCCGGGTTGCCTGCTACTGCCCCCTGAGGCTCATGGATCCCCCATATTGGGTCACCTGTGCTGGTGCTCCAGCCCTCTGCTACCCACCCCCAGGGCTGAAGCACACAAAATCTACTAGCCTCCCCTCCACCCCTACCCCGGCTCTGGTGTGCGAGGGGAATGTGAGGACTATCTTATTTCTTCTCAGTCAGGGGCTTCTCACTTTGCTTCTCATTTGTGTGCGACCTCCGACTGATTTTTTTGTGGGTCAGTGGCCCCCGACCCTGGAAAGGTTCCTCACCTCTGCTTTAGGGGGTGGAGATGTAAAATTCATCATATAAGCAATATGTGCAGGTTGGTGAAAAATTTGCAAAATTTGGTAAGTGCTATTTATCTCATTGGAGCATCACAGCAAGCTGAATTAACCAAGCTGCTTCAGAGTTCACGAATAACAACAAGAACAAAAACATCATCTTTAACATAGGCAGTCTGGGGGTATAGTCCTGCTTTCTTCTGACCCTATTCTTTGATTTCCAGATTCTTACATTCATGGTTGTTCTGTGTGGGATTCCTTAGGCCGAGGACTCAGTCTGCTTCGGACCTCAGAGCTAAGAGTGGACAACAATGTTTTCTATAACATTTTAGGTCATGGGATTCTACTGGGTAAGTGAATCAGAGGCTTTTCAATCAACCTTTTCATGGCTCTCTATGCCGAGGATACTGTTATGCAAACCTTCCTTGGATGGAAGGTTCGCTGCTACTAGTCTTATGGAATCTGGACTATCACTCTCTGGCTTCCTCAGGAAGAGGTTGAGGATCTATATCCCTGTGGCCATAGATATGTTGGGTCCATTTCTTATGACCAGCATGGAGCTTGTTCAGTCTCATTGGTACTTCTCTCCTGTCCCATTTCTATTCTTTACAATATGGCAGTAGATTTTTTTTTAAAATCAATGACCCTGATTCACCCATCATTAAAACATCTTTATTATGTAATATTTAAAGGCTGGATTCAACAATACAAACACTTCCTTTTTGTGTGGATCAGGTGACACTGGAGCCAATGGGGCAATATTGTGTGTGTAAAATCAAGCACAGTCTTAAAGTACTTGACTGAATTGGAGCTTGAAATGACAAAAATATTGAAAAGCAAAATCTCTCGCCTATTAGAGCAAGCTGGAGATTTGGCTGCAGCCTCTTCCACTAGGATCTCATTCTGCTGAAGTACGTAATGTTCTCTCTTTAGTTTTGGCTGCCCCCCAGCAATGGCAGCAGAAACTGCCATTTTAATTTAAACAAAAGCATTGGGCCATGATCCTGCAATCCAGTGCACCCATGCAGTCCTTACACTTGGCTGGAGCCCAATTGGCATCAGTTTGATGCATCACTCAACCAAGCTGGGACTTCATTCGGAAATCCGTTCCTCTGATCTTTCATGCTGAGACATAAGTCTGACTTTCTAATCTCTGGGCTGAGCTAAATGTGTCCTCCGAAATTTCCTTCTGAATACTCTGTATCCTCCAGACGTCTTTAATGGTTTCAATGTCAGTATCTCCAGAGGGTCTGAAAGATGAATTTATATATCATTTTGTTACCTGTAAAGGCATATTTATTATAGCTGCCTGTTTGCTGCTCTAGAATTGAAAACTCACAATGATTTCATTTAAACCCCTATTTTCTAGGGTTTTGCAGGACAGTCATAAAAAGTCGCTCTGGGCTTAAAATTAATTGGCAAACAAGGTCCTGGCCTGGAAGCCAAGACTTTTTATGCCTCCTTTCAAACCTGTCTGACTTTCAAAAGCACTAGTATACAATCCTGCTTGTGCTCTGACAATGGCTATGACTGAAATAAATGCCATCTGGTAAGGAAATATTTCTCAGTAGGATCTAGTTCCATGGTAAATGCTGTAGAGGTTGCAAAGTGTGTGGAAAAAATAACTCCCCAAAATCTATGTGTATTTTTTTTCTGATGATCAGCTGGAAGTTAGGGTGGTTAATACGTGGGGAAAGCATCTGTGTCCAGGGAAGAATTGGCGGGAATGTTGGCATATGTTATCACATTTCTTGTAAAGGAAGGGTGAGGTTGACTTGCATGTTCCCTGGATAGGGTTCCTCTTTTCCAGACCGATGATGGAGGTGAAAATGCTTTTCTTTCCTTTCCTTTCCTTTCTGTGCTACGCTATTAGGAAGTGTCTTACTCTGTGGCTGTGTCTACACTGGGCCACTTATTCCGGAAAAGCAGCTGCTTTTCCAGAATAAGCTGCGAGCTGTCTACACTGGCCCTTGAATTTCCGGAAAAGCAACGACGCTCCAAAATCAGCCGCTATTCCGGAAAAGCTACGCTGCTCCCGCTCAGGCATAAGTCCTTATTCCGGAACACTGTTCCGGAAAAGGGCCAGTGTAGACAGCCCAGTAGTCTTTTCCGGAAAAAAGCCCCGATCGCGAAAATGACGATCGAGGCTCTTTTCCAGAAAAAGGGCTTTTCCGGAAAAGCAGCCTGCCAATGTAGACGCTCCTTTTCCGGAAAAAATGAAAACGGAATAGTATTCCATTTTAAGCATTTCCGGAAATTCATGCCAGGGTAGACACAGCCTGTGTTTGTATAGTGCTTAGCATAATGGGGCTCTGACTTCGATTCCACCCTCTTGGCGCTAAAATAGTACAAATTAATAGCTCCTTTTCTACCTTGCAGAAATCATCTGATCTTTCGACTGTGCACCATAGTAATAATCTTCATTGCTGATATTTAGATCCCTGCCGTTTTCAAAGCATCCTGCTCCACTCATAGCTTTCCTTCCAGAGTATAACGTGGATTCCAAAGTGCTTTTCAAGCAGTATATGCACAGCATATCGGAAATGCAGTCACTTCTGTGGTGAAGAGCTGCTGCCAACCAGCCCTCAGTGCCTTGCACAACAGTATACGTGAAGGATGAAAATATACACAAGAATATGTGATCTGCATGGGTGATGATTCTTGGAGCTGTATTTGATGAATTTTTACCTCTGATTTATATTTTAGGAGGATGGTTGGAACAGGGGAATAGAGTCAGGCACAACATGGTGATTGGTCTTTCTGGAACAGATGGACTTTCCAACATTGAAACATTGTCACCAGCAGGGATCTACATTAGGGCTCCTGCTAACGAGATAGAGGTAAGGATAAAAAAGCAACACTGTATCAAAGAACCACTAAAGATCTAGAACATTGGTTCTCAAAGTGACCTAAACACAGGGGCTGTGTCTACATTGGCAAGATTTTGCTCAAAAGCAGCGGCTTTTGCGCAAAAACTTGCCACCTGTCTACACTGGCTGCGAGTTCTTGCACAAGAACACTGATATTCTAATGTATGAAATCAGTGCTTCTTGTGCAAGAACTATGACGCTCCTGCTCAGGAATAAGCCCTCTTGCGCAAATGTTCTTGCGCAAGAGGCCAGTGTAGACAGGCAATATGAATTTCTTGTGCAAGAAAGCCCGATGGCTAAAATGGCCATCAGAGCTTTCTTGCACAAAATAGCGTCTACACTGGCATGGACGCTTTTGCACAAAAGCACATCTCTTGCACAAAAGCACATGTCAGTGTAGACGCTCTCTTGTGCAAATACTTTAACGCAAAAACTCTTGCGTTAAAAGTATTTGCACAAAATCTTGCCAATGTCGATGTAGCCAGGCTGTTAACTTAGGGTTTGTCTACACAGCAGGGCTAAAGTCAAATAAAGTTACACAACTTCAGCTATGTCAATTGCGTAGCTGAAGTCGAAATAGCTTAACTCGGCTTATACTGCTGTCTACACCACTGTGAACACTATTCCTTCAACTTCCCTTACTCGTCATGAAATTAGGGTTACCATGAGTCTGAGTAAGTCTCCAGCTTGACATTATTTCAAAATAAAACCTTGTAGTTTCAAAATAACAAGGTATGGAGACATACCTTACTGAATGAGTTGTGGTAACGATTGTTACTACAATAGGATAGTAATAGAAGTGCACAATGCTACATTCCTAAATAAATCTCTTTCTCTTTCTCTCTCACTCACACACAGGGTACGTTTAGACTACAGGGTTTTGTCGACAAGTTTTGTCGACAGATACTGTCAATAAAGCTTCTGTCGACAAAGAGCGTCTACACTACATTCAGTTTTGTCGACAAAGCAAGCTGCTTTGTCGACATGGCAGTGTAGACGCAAGGACAGTTTACATGCAATAACGCTTTCTGTCGACAGAACTCTATTGACAGAAGGCGTTATGCCTCGTGAAATGAGGTTTACCAGCGTCGACAAAACTGCTGAGTTCTGTCGACGTTATGTCGACAGAACTCAGCTGTAGTGTGGACGCAGGTATAGTTTTGTCGACAAAAGTCCACTTTTGTCGACAAAACCGTGTAGTTTAGACACACCCACAGAGAGAGACACACAATATTTTCAACACAACTCCAGTCCTTATCATACTTCCAAGCATTTTATGTTTCACTACAAAGTCTAAAGTCATCTTAGGTTAATCAGAGGCTCATAAAATTTTGCAAAAGACCTGATCCCAGATCTGATCAATTCTGGACTATTTTGTATTGTTTCATCAAACAGTAAGACACTCAAAATTTTTCATGATCTAGATGGCAAACCAAATAGTGATTTTCACCTGTATTTGAACCTGAAACTCAAGTAAAACTCAGGGACTACCAATCCATAGAAACAGAAACCAATGAGGAATTATATATGAGGACACCATTCCCTCTTTACTTTTTGCTCCTCAAAGAGTTGCATCTAACTTTGAATGTGAGAAACAGCCCAACAGGTTTCCTATGCTAGCGTACGTCTGGACTGTGGCGCTATTTTGGGATACTTCCAATAGCCAGAAATAGCTATTTCGTGTCTCTTGAGCAAGCCCGTTATTTTGAAATAGTTTTAAAAATCTATTTCAAAATAACGGGCTTGCTATTCCGACGTCTCTGTAACTCTTGTTCCACGAGGGGTAAGGGATGTTTCAGAATAGCGGTTTATTTTGAAATTTGGTGCTGTGTAGACGGTGCCAAATTTCAAAATAAACTATTTCAAAATTCAATCAAAATAAGATATGCAATTTGAGCTACACCCTACTCTTATGACAAGTTTTCCTGAGAATAAACAGAGCACTTTGATTTCAGTTTGCTGCAAGATACACACTCAACTTTATAGGCCATGTGAAAGAACATAGCGGAGGCATTTATGTTTTCTTTTAAAAGTGGGCAGGGCCTGTAAACACAGAGAGATCTCAGCAGTCATATCTCGATTTCGCCTAGAGCTGTCTGACTCCATTACCAGTGGTTCAGCTGTTAAAGGGCTGGCTACATTTATCTGTCAATGTACTTGTGAAACTGAGTTTTCAACATGTTTAGCTCATGTGCTATACTAGAAATTCAGAGATCTACTTAAAAGTGGACATGCTCCCCAGGCACTGACATTAAAACTCCTTTCCAAAAAAACTAGCGGGGCCTGTCCTCTGCAAACCAGTGTCAGTAGACCAGCAAACACTCATGGCAATCTGCATTCTGAGCTGCCAGCTAAAGGACTGTGTATTTAAATCAATGCAACAGCAAGATAGTGAAATCTAAAAGAAAGCTAGGAGCCTTCCTCCATTTATCCACATTATCTGTAGGGGTACTTATTATTGCACAGCATCCAGAAATACCTGGCAGAAAAACAGGAAAGACTGCAGTATATCTGTAGGCTTTTGGGGTTAGGCACAGTCTCCTATTATGTGTCTGTATGGTGCACAATGTCAGCTGGGTCCTTTAGTCTCTAATATAAAAAAATAGAAGTGCTGAACAGGAGGAAGGAAAGGTGGGTGGGACTTTAGCCACAGTGCTACAATCATGAAGTTAATTAGTTTAAGCATCTGCACATCACGGGGTTTTATAAGAATGACCATTCTGGGTCAGAGCAATGGTCCATCTAGCCCAGCATCTAGTCTTCCAACTGGGCTGGTACCAGATGCTTCAGAGGAAACGAACAGAATAGGGCAATTATTGAGTGATCCATCCCCTGTCATTCAGTTCCTAGCTTCTGTCAGAGGTTTAGAGGTTGCATCCCTGACCATTTTGGCTAGTAGCTATTGATAGGCCTGTCCTCCATGAATATATCTAATTCTGTTCTGAACCCTGTTATAGCCTTGGCCTTCACAAAAAGCCACAAGTTCCACAGTGACAAGTTCCACAGGTTGTGCATTGTGTGAAGAAGTACTTCTTTCTGATTGAAACCTGCTGCCAATTAATTGATTAGGTGATTCCTGATTCTTGTGTTGTGTGAAGAAAGTGAATAAGGAAGTGTTAATTACCCCTTCACATCGGTCGTGATTTTATAGGCCTGTATCATATCGTATTTTAGTCATCTCTTTCCTAAGCTGAACAATCCTAGTCTTTTAACCTCTCCTCCTATGGAAGCTGTTCATACCCCTAATAACTCTTGTTGCCCTTCTCAACCAATTCCCATTCTATTTTTGAGATTGCAGGGAACAGAATGGTACACAGTATTTGAAGTGTAGGTGTTCCTGGATTTAGATAGAAAATATAATAAATGTCACAGTTTTATTATCTTTCCCTTTTCTACTGCTGTCTAGCAATTTGTTAACTTTTTGACTACCCCCACAGGGTAGGCATGTCTAGACTTGCTTTCACGTTTGAAAGAAAATATGCAAATTCATTAGGAATTTGCGTATCTTCTTCTGATAGCTTTTTTGAAAAAAGGTTCTTTTGAAAAAGGAAGTAGTCTAGACGTGTATCTTTTGAGAAAACCCCTTTTTCAAAAGAACCATGTAAACCTCATTTTTTAGGAAGAACGGTTCTTTCGAAAAAGGGTTTTTTACTCGAAAGAACCGCGTTTAGACTTATTTGAAAGAACCTCTTATGAAAAAGTGATAGGAAGAAGATATGCAAAGTCATATTACACACCAAATTTGCATATCTTCTTTCAAAAGTGAAAGCAAGTCTAGATGTGCCCATTGTGCGGATGTTTTCAGAGAACTAGCAACAATGAATCCAAGAACTTTTTATTAAGTGGTGGCAATTAACCCCATCATTTTGTACTTATAATTGTGATTATTTTATCCAGTGTTCACTACTTTGTATGTACCAACACTGAATATCATCTGCCATTTTGTTGCTACGTCTCCCAGTTTAGTGGGGTCCCTTTGTATCACTTGGATGTAATTATCTTGTGTAACTTAGAATCATCTGTAAAAATGCCCCCACATTGTTTATTGCTTTTTCCAGATTACTTATGAATGCAGGTATGTTGACCAGTAGTAGATTCTTGGGGAACGCTGCTACTAACCTCTGTATGTTGTGAAAACTATCCATTTATTCCTGTCCGGTATTTCCTATCTTTCAAGCAGTTACTGATCCATGAGAAGATTTTCCCATTTATCCCATGTTTGCTGATATTATTTGAGATCTTTTTAGTATGGGACCTTGTCATAAGTTTTCTGAAAGTTCAAGAAAGTTCAGTTGTGTCAACTGGATCATCCCTGTCCGCATGCTTGTTCATCCTCAAAATATTCTCATAGATTGGTAATGGGGGTGACATGTGTGTGTGGGGTGGGGCATGAGGGGATACGTGCCCTCAAATGTTGTGGGTGGGAGGGGCAAAAGGACAGAGCTCTGGGCTGCCCAGGTTCTTCAGCTCCCAGTGTGTTGCTCAGGGGAGGGGGCCGGACTGCCCCCCCAAGCATTGTGGTGACACATCTGGGAGCTGGGGGAACCCAATCCCCATTGCGTGCACCAGACCCAGCCCTCACTAGTCTCCCAGGTTGTATTGCTCAGGGGAATGGACTTCGGGGAAGACACAGGGAGGGGGCAGAACAGGGGGCAGATGGGGTGGACATGTGGAAGAGACTGGGAGAAGGCAGAGAAGAAGCCAGAAGAGGTGGGGCAAGGGTGGAGAAAAAGCAGGAGAACGGGGGTGGGGAAGAGGGGCGAGACCTGGCATAGAGAGGGGGTGTCCCACTGAGCAAGCATTTTGTTACAATATGTGCAACTTCGGCAGCAGAGCTGGGCTTCTGTGGCTCACTGTTGCAGTGAACTCAATTGCAGCATCCTGCGTGCTCGCCGGCCTGGTCAGTTGTGAAGTTACTTTTCTTACAGTCATGCCGTGATCATCAGTGCTCCAGACAGGACAGGGATGGA